TTTGTATCTAGAAGATATAAAGAACTCATGTAAAAGAGAAAGAGAGAGAGGAGAGAGAGAGAGAGAGAGAGAGAGAGAGAGAGAGAGAGAGAGAGAGAGAAATGAGCAATAGAACTATTAGGCAGTTCGCAGAGAGAAAATGGAAAGACTAATAAAAACATGAAAAGGTGCTCAACCTCAGTAGTAATCAGAGATGTAAAATAAACCCACAATGAGATACCTGGATTATAGAAACCCAAATATACAAAAATTAAAAAATACTAACAATACCAAATGTTGGTGAGGATGCAAAAAATAAGAACTCTTATACACTCCCAACAGGAACTCAAATAGGTAAAACTACTTTGGAAAATGGTGTGGCGTTACAAATTAAAGTTCCACATGTGCAAAACCCATTAAGAGTCAATCCACTCCCACTCCAGCACGTGTAAACATGTACTAGTAAACTTGTACTAGAATGTTCATAACAACATTCTTAATAATAGCCAAAAATGGAAACAGTGCAAGTGACCATCAATAGTAGGAAACATAAATAAATCAATAAATATTCATATAGTAGAGTACTATAATCTCTATCGATGGAAAAAACTCCCAGCCACACGGTATCAGCACTGGGTGAATCCCCCAACATAATAGTGAGAGAAGCCAGTCACAGAAGAATACTTATAGTATTAATTCCACTTATGTAACATAACAGGGGAGAATTAAACAATATTTTGTTTAGAAGTACCTATGTGAATAGTAGAAGTATTTAGAAATTATTGTAATAAAAGGGAATTATTGTAACAAAAGTCAGGGTAGTGGTTACTTTCAGGGAAGGAAAGACAGCAGTGGTTGGGGCATTTCTGAGGTCTAGTAGTGTTCTATTTTTTAAGCTGGGTGTTAGTTACACAGAAGATGAATATGTTTTATATACTGTCTGTATGTATATTTCGCACTAAAAATTATTTTTAAAACGATTGGATTCTTTTCATCTTTGATGGTATATGGCCCAGGCCCTTCCCAACTGGATTTGTTGGCCCTTCATCGAAAGCTCAATGTAAGCAATTTATTTTGAGATGCATACACAGGTGAATTAGATAGGAAACCTCTAAGAAAGGACAGGGACGCACTAACAGAGAGTCACAATACGAGACTAGGAAGAGGAAAACGATGATCTGATTCAAGCCCCTCTTCTCAAGAAGGCAACTGGAGTTTTGCTTGAGAACTTCCGAGTTTCAGACCACCTCCCTGACCTGTGCTCTGTCCCATTATACAACCAGCTATATTCCGCCCTCTGTCTAGCTTTGGGCCCAGTTTGATGTCACAGAAGAACTGCCCCACCCACCAACCCCGCCCCATCGGAAGCCCCGCCCCCGAGTGCGGTCTCGCCCCGCCGGACGTTCGCCGAGCCCCGCCCCCAGCCGCTCGGTCTCGCGTGGTGGCTCCGGCGCGTCCCCGCTCCGCCTCTGTTCCGGCCCCGCCCCTCCTGGCTGCCATGACAACGAGTCCGCGCCCCGCGCACAGCTGCTGCTCGGGCGGGACCCAGGCTGGACCGCGGGCCCCGGCCTGGGGGGCCACAGCTGCCACCGCTGCCGCCACCTCGTCTCCTCCCCGTCCCCGCCCCGCCCCGCGTCTCCTCGCCTCACTCGGGCCGGCGGCCGGGGTCCTTCCCCGCCGCCCCAGCCCGCGCGGATGCCGAAGGTGAAGGCGCTGCAATGCGCCCTGGCGCTGGAGATCCGCTCTGTGAGTACCGGTCGCTCCCTCGGCCCCCGCCGCGCTGCGTGTCAGTGAGCCCCTGAAATTGACTCGCCACGCCGCCTCTGTTCACCTCCGCGAACCCTGAGGCACCTCAAAACTTCCTCCACCTTCGGAATCGCCCTTAGGGCGGCGAACCCTTTGTCACCTCGGTCTTCCCCATTTCAAACTCCTGAGCGCCCCCCCTCTGCTGCCACGCGGAGGTCTGACCCCCCCCCCCGAGCTCTCCCCGCTCCATCCCAACTTCCAGTTGGAGTTCCTTGAAATCTTACCCGAACCGCTTCCGAGACCCTCTTCCCGCCCAAAACTTCCCACTGAGTTTTTTTTGAACCGGGGGAGGGGGCGGGCTTCTCTTTAAATTCCTCCTTTTTACCGCTCTTCTTAGTGAGAGAGAATCCGTCTTCCCTTCCGTCTTGGGTGAGGGGGCGCATTTCTTCCCAAATCACTGCAGGCCGACTTTTTCAAATTGCCAAGCTTCTGATGAGCGTCCTTTACTTTCAGTGTACAGTAGAATCCCCACACGCAACTACGGACGGTGTTATCATTGCATAAAGCCATCCACCCCTGCCCCTCCCAGAAATTATTTCAGGCCCCTCCAATCCCCAAACCCTCTGTTCTTCCTGTCACTCTAAGAAAGGCACCAACTTTTAAAGGGAAACTATTCATTCCCTGAAGTCGCTCGGGGGAGGGGGGGGGTCTGCAAAGTCACCAGGCCACTCTCCAGACTTGCTAAAGAGACTCCTTCCCCCCCCCCCCAACCTGCTGTGCAAATCCAGCCCAGGCAGAGAACCCCAAGTCCTTCCTCAAGTGAGGGGGCTTGGACTTGAGAAAACTTCCTTCCGCCTCATTCTTTAGAGAACCCCCTCATTTTCCTCTTCAGATGAGAGTTCTGGCTTCTCTCTTCTAGAGGATAGCCCCAAAGAGTCTTTCCATACCCCCATTTTAGATCTGCAAGCAGTTTAGAGCCAAACTTCCTCCTTCAGTCCCTTTTCTTTCCTCCCACCTTCTCTCAATCCAGTCTTAGATCTCCCAGCAAAACTGGGGGTGAGGGGCCGTGAAGGTACTTAGATGTCCAACACCACTCCCCTGGGTACTGCACCAAGTAGCCCCCCCCCCCCCCCCACACACACACTTCCTTCCTGCACACCCTGCAGGCAAGGCTTCCCTCCCTACTTACCCACCCTTGCAGCGTCCCCCTCTTTCCTGGCTGTGCCTCCTCACACTAGAATGAGGCTGCTGCAGCCCTGTCCACGAAACGAAACAAACCTCCAGGGAAATCACAAGACTGTTTTAGTTCTTTTGTTAGTTAGTAAAGAAGGAACGAACCGCTGGGTAGGGCAGAGTACGAGGCAGGGGTGGAGGAGATGAAAGTTTTGGCACAATCCGTTGAAGCCAGCAGAGATTTTCTTCTCTGCTGTGTTGGAAACTCTATCTATAGCCCTAGCTTCAGATGTTTTCCCCCCACAGCTGCCAAAGTTTGGCAACTTTTTTGTAACGTCAGATTCCTTCAGAAAAAGAATACGTGAAGCTTCCTAAACCGCTAGCTAGCTCAGGGCAGTTAGTAAAACTCAACAGACTTGTTACTGGCTGCTGCTTGCCCTGCTAACCAATGGGATGTTGCAGCCTGGCGAGAGCAGCTGCCTGACAGGCCTGCTGCTCTTTCCCTTCCTTTTTGCCACACAGACCTTCTAAGAGGAAGTACTTTGTTGCACTGTAACTGATTACTGCCCGAAGGAGGTGAGGAACAAGTTTTATTTCACTACGCTTTCTCCTCAGTATTAGTTGTACTGCAGAAAGTGAATGACTGCAAAATGGAGCTTTGTTGTTCATGGAAGCTTAAGAAGTTATGCAAGTGGAAACATGACTATTTTTTTCAAACATTTGAGTCACAGAATTTCACATTTCTAAGAAATCTTAGCTACCATTGGATTTAGTCCTTTTGACAGGTGAGAAAATCATGGAGGCTTAGCATGACTATTTTTCTAGGGTTGCACAATTATTAAGAGGCACATCTGCAACAGGATGCTAAGTGTGCTGACCAACATAAGCCCTGTTAAATGTGTATACACATGTATAAAATAGAATTTTTTGGATGAAAATTTGAAAGTAAGTTGTTGATGTCATATTTCACTCCTGACTACTTCAGTGTACATCTTCTAAAAATAAGGGTGGTTGTACGTAACCACAAAACCATTATCACACCTAAGAAATTAGTGATCATTTCTTAATATCTAGTTCATATTCAAGTTTCCCCAGTTGTGTCCAGAAATGAATTGTGTAGTTAACTTTTTCAAACCAGTTTGAAAGTTTGCATGTTGCATTTTCTTGTTAGCTCCTTTTAGTCCATTTTATATAGAGCAGTTCTACGTTTTCATTCCCATGTTTCCTTTTTTTAAAATGAATTTAGATAAATGTATACACTCATGTAACCATTATTCTGATCAAGATTTAGAACACTTCCATGACTCCAGAAAATTACTCATACCCCTTTCAAACTTCATGTAGAGATAACTACTATTCTGATTTCTGTCACTATAGGTTACGTAGTTTGCTAGTACTTCAACTTCATATTAAATGGAGCCATGTAGTGTGTAATATTTTGTGTTGGCTTCTTTTGCTCAGCATAGTTTTGAAATTCATCCATGTTGGTGCATTTATCAGTAATTTATTCTTCTAGATTGTGGAGTAGTAGTGTTCTGTCATATGGGCATACCATAACATGTTTATCCATTTCCTTTACTGATGATTATTTGGGCTGTTATCAGGTAGTGGTTGCCGTGGATGAAGTTACTATGAACATTCATTCTTGTAAAAATCTTTCTGTGCACATCACCTTTGGAAGAGATTATGCTCAGATATAGAATATCCCCTGTTGGGTTATGGTTTGAATTTTTTCTCTTTGTGGTGACATTTCATTTGTCCCCAATTCCTGTAAACTGGAAATTAGATGTTTTCCCTCGATTTGCCTGTTGAAAGTACGGCACTCCATCTCTCATCTCGCCCGCCTTCGCCCTCCATATTTATTTTTGCTGCAGCCTTCTATGAGTGGTAATCTCATATGTCTAATACTGTGGTAATGTGAGAGCAAAAACAATAAAACATGAAAGGTTTGGGTATATAACAACATTTTGTGTGTCTCAACAGAGAGAGCTATATGACCTGAAAGAAAAAGATATTGCTAGGAAGAAAGTATGACTTTTCTCAGTGAATCTTTGGAAAATGATATAACATTCCAAGTAACATGTTTTTAAAGAGCAGCCAAAGAATTATATTTCCTATCACTTAACATTTTGTTTTGTAACCATTTTTTAATTTTAATTTTTCAATTACAGTCGACATTCAACATTATTTTATATTAGTTTCAGTTGTACAGCATAGTGGTTAGACATTTATATAATTTACGAAGTGGTCCCCCAATAAGTCTAGTACCCACCTGGCACCATACATAGTTATTACATTGTTATTGACTAAATTCCCTATGCTGTACCTACATCCCATGACTATTTTGTAACTGCCAATTGTACTTCTTACTCCTTTCACCTTTTTCACCCAGTGCCCGTCCCCTCTGGCAACCATCAGTTTGTTCTCTGTATCTATATTTCCCATTGCTTACATTTTTAATATTTGAAACTTTTTTTTAAAGATTTTATTGGGTAATTGGGGGAGGGGAACAGCGTTGGGGAATCGGGAAAGGGAAGCAGACAAGTTGCTGTCCTTTTGTTCTTCAGTCTAGTTGTGGAGGGCATTGCTTCACTGGCCCATGTTGGTATTGTGATCATTGCGCTCTTTCCGGCTGAAGCAGAGCCGTAGCCGGCCGTTGGACGGCCCTCATGGTGGCCGATGGCAGCCCACTGCAGCCCCACTGCAGCCTACGTAGTCACCGGCGACTTACGGCAGCCCAGCTCCAGGTCGAGCTGTTGTTCACCATCTTAGCTATAGAGGGCAGTGTCACTGGCCCATGTGGGAACCAAACCGGCAGCCCTGCTGCTCAGAGATCGTGTTCCCAAGCCAACTCTTAACCAACTGAGCCACTCAGCCGCCCCATCCCCAATATTTGAAACATTTTATCTGTGATATGAAAAAGTAGTTTTGCTGCTGCTTCTCTCTGTCTCCTTGTTATTATTTACTAATTCAATTTTCATGAGATTATTTGGGAAAATAGAAGGGAGAAACTGGAATACAAGAGTAAAGTCTATGAAACCAGCCAATTTGCTTTACCTGAATAGTGTCAGTTTGGGATTAGTTTATATATAATTCCCGGTATTTCTTCATAATACTCGCTTCACCTTATTACCTTTCAAGTTACCGATAGCATCGGGGCAAACAGATCTGGGTCCTTTTCAATAAAAAATGAACATTTGTGAACTTTATCCATGTTTCTGTGGAGTGGTTTCTCTGTTACGCTACAATTGGCGGTATATTTCCCAGGAATATTGACTTAAAACACACACAGACACACACACACACACACACACACACACACACACACACATACACACACACTGTAACTATAAAATACTTCAAACTTACAGGGGGAAAAAAAACATGAATATTGTGGTCCCCCCCCAACACACACACACACACACACACACACACTCCAATTTAACAAATGCTATATTTTACATGTTTGCTGCAGATTTTTATTTTTGAGAAATGAAATGTTGCAGATCTAGATAAGGCCCCTTTGTACCTCTTCTCAACCCCAATTTTCCTTCTCTTCCTGGATTTAAGGTAATCAGTATCCTGAAGTTGGAGTACATTCTTTTCATTCAGGCTTTTGTACTTTTCTTCATATTTGTGTATGTCTATATACTACCTATACTATGGTTTCGTTTAAAGGTTTACACGAATGACGTCATACTGTATGTATCCATCTGCAAACCAGTTTTTTCCAGCTCACTATTTTTGAGATTTCTCAGTATTCTGTCTTGCAGATCTAGTTCATTTTCTTAATTGCTACATAATGCTGTATGTTTATATGACAGGGA